CGGCTGAAATGAAAATGGATCAGGATAATGAAGCACATACTGAAGTTTGGGAGAAAATGATGTATGAAGAGTAAATTCTGTGTTTTGGTTGTAATTTGACAAGACACACACACACTTGTGTTTGTTTTCATTCCCCATGGAGATTTCACTGACTTGTATTTACTTTCTGAAGAAATACTCTAACCTTAAGCATGATTACTTCGTGTCTGAACTTTCCCTTCCCTCTGTGAGGTGTGAGAGGGAAGCACAGTGTGCCTGGACAGGCAGGAGAGGTGTTCACATGTAAACATCGCCACCTCTATCTGCACGTTTTCTTTCCTCTCTCTCTCAGGTTTTGGTCCACATGCACACACCCAAACACACAAACAAGTGCGGTGGTGGTATCCTCACAATGCAACAAATAGGCTACATGCACACACACACCGTTTGTCTGCCCACAGGTGCACTGTACACACTGAAATTTCTTTGCACCAATTCTGGTGAATCCAAATATTAATGATCCTGAGCATCAGTGCCCAAAAATGGCTGCTTTGTTCATAACATCATGCATGAAAAAAATGAAAAAATGCTACAGTAATTCTCTTGGGATTAAAAGGTGGGTTAAAAAAGAAGGCAAACCAGCCCTATAGCAGCCAAGCTGACCTCAAAGTATCAGCAGTCTGGCTCATAGACACCTCAGAGGCTTGTCCCACAAACACACATGTACAGTAATATTCCTGACCTTTTTAGGAATGACTGACAGACTGAAATAAAAAGGCTGATTAGGGCTAAAAACACGACACACGGTGACCATTTGGACTGGGAGATTAGGTCATTGGATGATTAGAATCAGCTGGTAATCACAAAAAGGATACACATCTGGACAACCATATAAAAATAGAAGCTGTGCACAAAAAAAGCAAAAACACATAATTAAATTACTAAACTGATGGTAGTCTTTACACAGATAAGACAAACAGAATGGTTAAATGGTTAAAGCTCTATAATAAATGGTTGTAGAAAAGCAATGGAAATTAAATTTGATTTTCATTTTACACCATATAGTCTGGCACTTTTTTCCTGCTGGCAACCTGGTGTCTACCAGTAAAAATAGACTGCACAGGGAGGGAAAGCAAATTAATAAATGATTGTTTTCTATCCTGTGACAGACAGAGTGTGAAGAAAAGTGTGGAGGGAAACGGAGGAGGAGGTTTGGGCAGAGAGGAAGAGAGGGAAAGTAGGAGGGGTTTGGGAGAGTAAAATACAGAGAGACAGGATTGGAGCATGAAAGGGAGGAAGCAAGAACTACTGGTACAACTGTGTTTCTGCAGTGCCTGCTCAGATATGATGAATGACCTGCAGATACGACTGTACAGCTGAATGCAAACATCTCCACTGTGTACACTCTGCCTTCTGTGATTCATTGTTTGCAGCCAACTGCTATGTTATTCTTTCAGATCAAGCAAATGAGACAGTGGAAGTAGAAAGAATTAGTAAATGCGCCTCTATAATGAATCCTGATAATATTACAATACTTTATCCAAGCTCTAAAAAGTGTGACATACAGAATTATCTGAGACAGACATTTCCAATCTGATACAAACATGTTCATTCTTGTCCAGCAGCCCGTCCCTGTTCATAGTGTGAATAGCAGTCTATTTGCTGACATTGCTTCAAGTCACAGTTTATGTAATAAATAAGGCTTGTGTTATTTATTGCCAATAAATTCCACAAAATGACACAAAAACCTATTCATTTATGCACAACCCCAGACTACTGTTATTGCCGGCTGTCTTACCTCAAACTCAACTGTCTTAGCTCCAACTCTAACTGCATCACATTATGCACAATCAGCTGACCAGTGCATGTGCCAGCTCTCAAACTTCACTCACTATCAGCTTTCCTCTCATTTGTGTAGCTCCAGTCATCATTGTTTGAGTGTTTTGTTCATGTGCACTTCTGGTCTGTACCTTTTCACGTCCCCATTTGTTTCCCTTTGCATATGGACTCTGATTTTTTTTGTGTCCCTAATTCTGAACTGTTTCCCAGCCTGCTTGTCTGGAGATAAACTATTAGCCTTGATGTCCAAGCCTGTTCCTGTTTGAATGCCTGGTGGTCACTATCATCGCTATGTTTTGTGTTTAGCTCCTGGTTGCCTAACATATCTGTCAATATATTTACCTGTTAACCATCGCACCTGTACAGTTTCTATTTTCCTGAGTCAGTATATTCTTATGTTGCAGTCTTTTCCTGAGTCAGCTTTTACCCACACTGTTGCATTTTATGAGTCAGCCACTATTCTCACCTGAAGTCTTGCTGCTTATTACATTTACCTTTGTTGTCTGCCTAAGTTTCTGCCTGCCCATATTACCTTCCTGTGTAAGATTGTTTCTCCACTAAACATCCCAGTAAACACTTTTAATGACCTGAAAGTCTTGTGCTTTGTTTGATTAAAATATTTGTTAGCTCTGGTGTTATTCCTTGTCATATCAGGAAGGTGCAGGGAGCAGGTGAACTGGACTTTTAAGTAAATTGAGACAACCAGCGTTTAACCTGTGACAAGCAAGTCAAACAAGGGTGCTTCCTCACCACGTGCCAAGCATGCAGGTTTTCTGTAAAAGTTGTACCACTGAGCTAACTTTTAATACACTCTCTGGCTCAACTCCTCAGCTACAGAGCCAGATACAGACAATAAGAGATGGTTTATTTATAACTATGTTGGGCTTTGGCTTTATGTATCTGGGTTAAATCACTGCAATTGCAGCTCTACTGCAGAGACAGAATGAGAGAGGGAAAAGGAGAGAGAAGCTATGTTTTGAAAGCTTGGCCTGAGCACTTAATAGTTCCTTTGGTATCCAATACTGACCATCTCTCATATCCTTCTGTCTTATTTTTTTACTTTTTTCTTCTTCTTTTTTTATATTCCTCGAGCCCATATCGTCCCCTTCATTTACCAAATCTTCACCATCACTTTAATTTTCCTCTGTCACATAGTCTTTTCTCTTTTCCTCTCTCTCTCTAATTTTATTACTCTATCCTTCTTACTCCTTCCTAGCACAGTTTCCCCTCTTGTTGCTAAAACATTAAATGGTTGTTGGCAGTGCCACTGACTGATCGCATGGCAGCCCATTAGTCCACAGGCCAACTCCTATAGCTTGCTCTTGAGGCCTGCAAAGCAATCTGAAACTCATCCTTGTTGGTGTGCAGTCAGCTGCCCACTCAGAATACAGAACAGTTTTGTTCCTGTTACTGCTTAGCAAGCGCAAAACAAATGCATCACATAAACACAATGCAAAAATCCCCTTATACCTGATAATGAAACAATATCTCTTCCCCTACTTGCACACCCTGGCTGTCATATATAATAAGAAATATTAAGAGGCTGAAAAAGCACACAAGAAATACACATGCAGCTCTTTATATAGGTCAACATACACCTACGGTGAAAATGCTCCAGTGTAAATGGAAGGAAATATTTATTTCTTTTACTTCATCTATCCACGTTTCTGCCATCCGCAGAAGAAACCAAAATTGTGACTGACTTGCAGTACATTTCCTTTTTGTCATTTGTATTTTAGTCTTCCCATAAAATCACTTTTCTGATTGGCTGGAAGGTGCAGTTTAAATCATACATTAGAGTTCAACAACATTCAGTGTCAGAGGTTTGTTAATTAGGCTACAATAAGGATGCGTCATGCTTAAGTAATGTTAGTGGTACCACAGTATACAAATACTCTGTTACAAGTAAAAGTTCTACATCCAAATTGTTACTTAAGTAAAAGTACAAAAGTATTAGTATCAACATATACTTAAAGCACAAAAGGTAAAAGTACTCACTGTGCAGAATGGCACATTTTATGTTACTGTGTATTATATTATTGGATTATAATTTCTGAGGCATTATTTTGTTCATCACAATTAATATTGCAGCTAATAAAGGTTGGACTAATATTAACTGCCTTATAATGAAAAGCATTTGCAACTTGTTTGTTATCCTGGTATATTATGATAACTTGTGTATTAACTAGGGCTGCCAAAATTAACATAACAATAATGAGTTAACACAAAATTCCTTTTAATGTCACAAATTTTTTTGACACGCAACTAATGCACTCACATTCTGTGATTATGACCCTCAGCCAGCCCCGTAGTTTGGGAAATCAGGAAGTGATGCAGCAGTAACGTTGTGGATGGCAAGTAGAAACAAACCTCCTTGAGCAGGAAAAGAAAAATGTCTTTAAAACGACCAGTTCAGCTTCAAAGCCCTGAGTTACCACCGAGTATGTCTCAAGTATCACTTGCTGGCCAAGCACACAGCTGATGCAGAGAGCCCTCCTCTCCCTCACCAAAGGCAGACTACTCTGGATAGTTTGCAACAGAGACACGGGGACAACTCTACCAGCAACAAACTTTCAACAGCAATCGCCAAATGGGTAGCTACAGCTAGGAGGTCGATTAACATTGTGAGAGACGAGTCTTCTTGAAATAATTTTGAATTTCTCCTCCATAGATAGGCAAACAATGGTATATGTACTGATGAAAAGAGATTTGTAACACCTGAAACAAAGTGGTAATTGAGAAACCCCATATTTTAACTGACATCTCCAGCCTTACAACAATTCTCTACAGAAACACATTAACAAACATGCAGCGTGTATCTTTTAAAACTTACTGTTAAGTCCCAGGAGTAAACATAAAATGGGTGGATAGGGTTGGCTTGTAAAACAACTTCCTACATGTTTGTATGAGCAGACGTTTAGATGAAAACATCTCCTCTTACTCAACAGGGAAGTGAGAAATACTCTGATTCACTCAGACTACTCACTACTTCATAGCACATGATTCTAACAAAGATACTTCGAGGAACTGTGGTGCCTATAAATTAGTCTTTTAAATGCTTACTGAAAGCTGCCACAGCCAGTATGAGTGTGACCACGATGGAGGTCCAGGAGACCCAGAGTGCCTTCTTCCTGTAGCTCTGAGCCTCATGGGGCTTCAGGCGCATGCTGCTCTCAAGAAGACCTGCAGGGAGACACATATAAGGACCGTTACAAGGACCATTCTCCTTTTCTTTAGTAGTGTTTCATACAGTGAGTACAGAAAGTATTCAGACCCCCTTCAATTTTTCACTCTTTGTTATATTGCAGCCATATGCTAAAATCATTTAAGTTCATTTTTT